TGCCGTGGTATTTTAATTGATGAAATTATAACAACAACTTTCACTGATATTTTTCAAACGATTCTTAATATTTACATTATATCCCATATGATAATAAAATGAAAAGGTTTCGATAATATCTTTCATTTCTAGTTCATGTACTACAAAAGAACTGTCGAAGGGTTATGAGCAATTAACGAAGCTACACACCAAGCAATCAAATTTATAAATGTGGGCGTATAAAATATCAAAATTAATTAATCAACAATCAATCAAACATCAGAAGAATTCTGTCTGTCTATTTTTTCTAAGAAAAAAAAAACGGGACTTTTCACTGAAAAAAAGGAGCTTACGTCAGTGGCATGGATTAATTGGCTTTCTTTTTTTCTTTTTTTATTATTTTGCTCGCGGAAATGTACGGAAGGTCAAATGGAACATCTAAGAGTCATATTATGTCAACCAAAAACAATACTGATGAATAGAACTGAAGGAGTAACAAATGAAATGGGGTTAAAGTACTCTTTTTCTGCACCAACAGGGCTACTGAAGACGGGAAGAGTTAGACAATCTGGTAATGAATTGGGTTTCGGTGATACAGTCCGTTACATAGACGTAGGTGCTAATAATCAAAACCGCTTTGAATCCCCGCAAACCCCGTGAACTACTTCCGCCGTGCCTCGTTCTTATTCTTCAGATAGTGTATCCCTCATCCCCTACCCATAAATCTACCGTCGTGAATGACAATTTTTACTTGGGATGATTATCTATCACATTACGATATCATGCTTACGTACGGGGAGGAAACCTGAGGACCCCGAGAAAACCCATTAATATTGAACAGGTGACCATACTCCTTGTCACATACAAGCGGGGAATCGAAACCACGCCACTTGACTCAATGACAGACCTTGTGATTTCAAACGCACGCGTTAAACTATTCGACCATCTATAATATTTATGAAGTTCAGCATGACTGACGTGACTGGCATTGATATTGTTACTTCAGAATAAAATATATTCTAAGATCGCATGTTTCAATTTCTGTGTTTATTCTCAATGTTGGTGACAACGGAAATTTATCTCTGACGACACACAAAGGGAGCTCGGGGCTGTAAGATGGAAATCTTTAGACAGTATAAAATATTGTCATAAAATAAATCGCTCCATATTAAATGATTAAACCATGATTGGGTATTATTATATATGGAACTAGTCACGAAACACAACTCACTAATAGACACAGGCACGGATCCGGGGGCGGGGGGGGGGGGGGGCGTACCCGTCGCACCCCCCCCCCCACACACACACTATTTTTTGCGGTGGCAAACAATTTTTGCCCGATATATTATCGCGGGAAAGGAGAACAAAAATGATCACCCCTCAGCTGGTAGGTACCGAAACTCATGTTGCTAAGCAAATTAACAGTCTGTTTAGGTTGAAAATCGTAATTTACTCCGAAACAAGCTGGTACGTGACTTAGTTGATTGCCCTTCACTACCAAGTGGGGGCAGCACACCCCCGCTTTCTGAAAATCCTGGATCCGCCCCTGAGACATTCATCTCTCAATAACATCACCACACAATCGGTCCTGATTCACTGTATCTCAAACCAGAATGACATGACGGGAAAGTTATTTTGATCACAACGCCCACCACGTTACCAAGAAAAATAATTAAAAAAAACTCTCCTGATGTAATTAAGTCTATATAAAAATAACTTTTGTGTAATTTGGTTATATATTTGGAAACCATTGCACGTATACGTTTAACAGAGAGGGTTTCTGTGAATCGATACGAATTTGATTGATGGCCAAATCAGTTCGATAACATCCATTATCATAAACCACATCTTTCGCACTGGAAAAATTAACATGATGATTTATAAAAGGATCACACCAGACTGGATATGTTTGTTTTCTTTCTCTAAAATCTGGTTATCCCCAAGCTTGAACGAAAATGTTAGAATTTATGTTACCACGGACATTTTGGGGGATTTTTCATTCTCAGATGGGGGGCTGGTTATCTTTCTTTTCCTTCTCTAAAATCTGGTTTAACGTCCACTCGACACAAACTAGGTCATTTCGGGACTAACATATGGTTTAATTTTATTTACATAATTCGCTTGCGCGTAGGGGTCTTTAGCAGTGGGAGGGAACCAGAGGACCCGGAGAAAACCCATGAGGTTGGACAGGCGATCCTACTCCTTGTCACGTACAACCGGGGATTCGAAACCACGCTATACCCAAGTTTGAATGAATATGTTAGACTTTATGGTTTGTGTTACCACGAACATTTTGTGGATTTTTTCATTCTCAGATGGGGGGGGGGGGCTCCCTTTTAAGCCTCCTATTGAAGGTGATGAAGACGGGGAAACGCCTTATAGTGCGGGACCATGGTCTCGTTACCTTATCACCAATAGCTTTTTTTAAAAAAAAAAAATACAATTAATTGTTATCACCAGTAGTAAACGAGAAAATTTCCCGCATATTTGATTCTCAGATCACCTTATAGCGCGGAACCTGCGCGGGACTACCTTATAGCACGGGGCAGTTGCCTCATTTTCCGCATTTTTAATTCTCAGATCGCGGGACCACTGTATAGCGCGGGACCACCTTATAGCACGGAACCCCAAGCGCGGGACCTCCTTTTTTTTTACCATGGGGACATTGCCTCATTTACCACATTTTTAATTCTTAGATCGCCGGACCATCGTATAGCGCGAAGCCACCTTATAGCACGGGCCATTGTCTCATGGCCATGTTGACTACTCATCAATACTTTTTTTATTGTTCGTATATTTCTTTTGTTGTCCTGTTTATTCCCCTGATACTGTCAGAGACAAAACAGGTTGAGCAACTCAATCAATATGTTGAAAACAGAGGAAGCCTAATGACCGTTCCACGCTAATTCTTCTATTACTAACTTATTGTTAGTTGATTGTTTTAAATATATTACCATCAGATACTGCCATACAGATACTGCCATTTATAGTCACAACCAAATAAAGTGATTATTAGTCAGGCTATTTTCAGACATATCTTTATCGCCCATCATTAATGTACGTAATGAAACATTTATAGAAAATTGTTGGCACTTTCAGACTCGATGACTAGAAATGAGCCATTTACAGACAAGAAGGAGCGTGTCCCGTTCGTTCGTTTCTGAGGTTTTGCGTCCACTTCTACCAAGTAAAATGTCGCGGACAGGTTAAATTATTTGAACAATCAAAAAAAAAAAAAAAAAAAAAAAAAAAAAAAATACCGGAAATTATGAAAATGGTCTGAAGAGTAACATAATTTGCCCCTCTTCAAATGCAAGTTGTTTTATTTTAAAAGAAAACTGTCAAAAAGTGTCAAGATTTATTTCTAATGTCAGCTGAATGTAATTATCACAAGACAACATCAATCTCACTGATGCGTCCAGTGAAAAAGCGGCATCAATTGAACCGAGAAGCTTCATTGAACGACACCCATCAAAATTCTGTAGCTGTGAGACCAAGACCAGCCAAGACAATAGGTAATTTATAGGACGTACCTTACTGGATCACAGTGGGCAATAACATGCATTCTATATTTAACTGAGGCCAACATCACAGAATCGAACCCCTTACCCTCTGACTTACCACACTTAGACAAGTAAACATGTCATGATTGTGACAATCTGGCTAAAACACAGATCCTATTTCCTTTCGTTTTTATAGGTCAAGATTTCGTTTTACTTGTCTTTACTACACTTGGATCTGGAAGAGTTGTTATTTAACTCGTGTTCTGAATGGTGTCGGGGATAAGCCAATGAAACGGTCTGTTACGGCGAGCTTTAGGCGTGTTTTGCATGGAACTGTGGGTAATCCACTAGTGACATCAATGCTGATTGGTTAATAAAATGTCTGACATCATAGGGTAATAAGTCGGTCTTTTGACCAATGACCTAACGCTATAACTTCATGTAGTGTAGGCCATCGAAAGTATAAAAAAACGAAACGAAATATAGATCTGTATTTTAATCAGATTGTGATTGTGTTGGGGTATTCCGGATTCACGGAAAATGAATTCACCCTGTTTTGCAATAATGTTGGTCACATCTGCTTATAGTATAGAAAGTGACGTCACCCTACCTCCCCCCCCCCCTCTATTTTCTTTTTTATAGATTATACATTACCATTCAGTGTAATCATTGGCATCATTGTCACAAGCATTGACTATCCAAATACTAGTACTGTAAGTTAAAATCTATTTTTCACGATTGACAATCAAGTGCTGATTTATAAGTTCCAATAGACTTTTAAAGATGGAAGCGTGCACCACTGAAGTTGTTAGTATTCCGACGAGTATATCAATGTATCTCCTCGATTCACTGGCTTCGTCATATATAACACGAGATTGTTAATGACAATAACATGTTTAATATATAAATAGTATATTTAGTTTCTGATACAATATGGTTATTTTGATAACGTCTGGTATGATTATATGACCGGAAGTACGTCTGGTATGATTGTATGACCGGAAGTGCATCTGGTAAGCAAATTAACTGATCACAGACACCCTCTCCATGTTAGTCGGTTATTTTTACTGCCATACATAGACTATTAAACAAGGCGTCACACGAGAGGGCCCTTAATAAAACGGGAAGTATGCCTGGTGATGCTGATTGGTCAAAAGCGACAAACAATCAGACATAGCCCTAACCCATACCCAAATCCTAACCAACAATCTCGTCAACAATCACGTGCCCTAATCTTATTTACATCTCAGCGACCTTGACGAAATCTGAAGGTGGCCTTAAGAAATAGTTCTAGCCGCATATTGGAAAGTATCATATTATACTGCATACGGTGGATCAGATAAAAGTAATTCTTTAAAAAATACCAATTTTTAGTTTTCAAGTCGGACCCTACTATAAATGAAACGAAAATGGGGTATATAGCCCTAAAGCCCTAATGTTTTGCATCAACCGAGCTAATGAAGACATGGTCCTCAATATCAGCTTATTGATAATCGACCCACCACATATAATACTTACCGATTTCTCATCGAAATCCAGATGAACAGGAGTTCCTGGTAGATTAGACGGAGTCCCTGGTGGCAGATCAGCGTTCTCTAAATTAGCCGAGATTGACTGGATCCTAGAACTGGTTAAACTGCTATTATCATCGGGCGACTGAAAGATACTTCTATACGGTTCTTCACCTTTCTGCTGGTTATCGTTAAACCCGGATTCATTCTGAGAAAACCGTGGTGTCTTCAACTCATCCAGATTATTAAAATTAGTGGCGACTCTCTTCACAAACTCTGTCGCCTTCTGGTGCTTTGTCGCGTTTCGTATAGAAACGTGTCTCTTTTTATCCGAGGGGATCTTTGTTCTAGATTGAGCATGCGCGTAATACATTGTGAAATTATTCACTACGATGGGTACAGTAAATGCCACAGTTAATACACCGCATAACACACACAGAGAACCAATTAGGTACCCCCCTTCGCTTTCCGGGACCTTGTCTCCGTATCCCACGGTTGTCATGGTTACCAGCGCCCACCAGAATCCGATAGGGATGCTGTTAAAGTTGCTGTTTTCAACGTAAAATATTATACTAGCGAAAATTAGCACACCCGTGAAGAGGAATATTACCATAAGAAGAAGTTCCTTGGTGCTGACTTTTATTGTGTATACTAAGATTTTGAAAGCAGTGTAGTGTTTCATTAGTTTGAAGATTCTTAGAACTCGAATAATTCTCAGAGCTAAAACAGATTTTAAAATCTGACTCGCTGAATCAGCCGGGTTGATGGTTTTTAAAATGATGGAAACAAAATGAGGCAATAAACACAATATGTCGATAATGTTCAACGGTTTCTTTAAAAACTGTACTTTTTGCGGAGCGAAGAAAAATCGTGTGATATATTCAAAAGTAAAGAAAGCCGCACACAGGTAATCCAAGTACGTCATTGCGTCGTGCGGCTCCGTTTGCGACAACGTCAGTTCATTACTTACTTTCATTCTACAGCAACACGTGTGCTCACCTTTATAGGTGTATGACGGTGCCAATACTGTTCCGTTCGGCACCGTTACACCATCCAGAGGAACACGGAACAGCGCATGCGTTTCTAAACAAAAAACACCAATTGATAAGAGAACAAAAAACATGGACAGCAAGGCGTAGGCCTGAAAAACAGATTTAATATAATGAAAGATTATCGAACAATGAATTGAATACAGTTTTTAGCTGAAGAGGCTTTCGCCTTTATTGAGATATCACCTTGAAAAAGCCTTAGGGTTTTACTTGACGCTTTAAGGCGCATTTACACGGCCCTGCTAAGCACTGACAGGAACTGACAAAACGTGACCAACAAGAACAGATACATTAGAGTTATACATATTCTACACGTCATATTTTACATATACTAAAAGTTAAACATATATTATGCAAGAGGTAAATCTGCCTATTCCAGGTCTTTCTCTAGGCCTGAAATGTTATCTAAATTATCAATAAGACATTTATATACATGAAAAGACCATAATCAACCCTCAATGTCATCTTATGTGTCTGATATTCATTGAATTTGAATCCGATCGGCTGTTTAACGCCCGTTGATGATTAACCTCAAGATTGGATAATCGAGACTTTGTTAATTAACGTGACAGCGGTAATAATGACAATCGAGGCTACAGTGATTTTAAAATAAGGTTTTTTCGGCTTATAGTGAAGCAATTGGACTGGAATTTTCAGCATATTCCCTTTAAATGAAATGCGACAGAACGCAAATGTAAAATGTAATGAGGGAAATGTAAAATGTAGACACGCCAAAAAACAGCCTTTTCCAATCAAACATTTGTCATTTGACGTTTTACATTTAACTTTGGCCTTAGAGGTCTTTTGACTTCATCATTACCGGTTTTAGAACATTGCACACTGTACTTTTTACATATAATCAATGGAAAATACATTTTAGCAGAGCATTTAATATTGGCAGCGATACCCTTCCAAATATGTAATCTTGCATACTGTATGTTTAAATGATTTTATTACAAACTGAGAAAATTATGGATAATTGAAATTTTGACCAAAGCGACGTAGTAACGACAAGGAGAAAATGCACTGAAGCTTACTCTGAATAAAGTGTTTAGTCAAAATTAATATTATGTATAATTTTGTAAACTGTTTATGAAATCGTTTAAAATTTGGATATGATATGTAAAATATCTTATCTTAAAGGCTCAATACCACTCTTGTTGTAAGTGAATATGTCCCAATCTTTATTCTGGTCAACAAATTGTACTATTTTACAATATTCCAATTAATTGATGATACAAATTTCATCTTAACACACCTAATTTAAAAAATTGGAAAAATTCAACTAAACGATTTGAAAAGCCTGACGTAAAGCTTTTCAAATGTGACTTGGATTTAAAAATATTTTTGAAACCTCTGGACAAGTAAAATAGGATTTAATGGATAATTTACACAACATGTAAGACACTAACACATCTAGTACTTAGAATAGGGCTATTTTTTATTTTCTGGAGCTGTCAAGCCAGCAAGAGTGTTATTGTCCTACCTGTTGTGTAAATTATCCATTAAATCCTATTTTACTTGTCCAGAGGGTTCGAAAATATTTTTAAATCGAAGTTTCATTTGAAAAGGTTTACGTTAGACGTTTCAAACCATTATGTTGGATTTTTCAAATTTTTTAAATAAAGTGTGTTAAGATGAAATTTGTATCGTCAATTAATTGGAATATTGTAAAATAGTACAATTTGTTGACCAGAATAAAGATTGGGACATATTATTCAGTTACAACAAGAGTGGTATTGGGCCTTTAACACAGGGAACAATTTTATAGATACATAATTACTGAGTTTAATTCTAAGCGACGTTTCGAAGAGGATAAAGACGATTTGCTTGATATCCTTGAGAAAAGACGCCCTTGTAGGTTCTTAGTAGGACCGTTTTTTGTCCAAATTTTAGTTATCAATAATTTTTTCAATTTTTTATGAAATCATTTAAATGTTGAATATGATGTTTATGCATATCTATAACATATTTTTCCTTGTCCTAGCGCTATTGACAAAACCCGTTCTGTATTTAATTTTTTCTGACTCAATTTTAAATCTTACAACTGATTCGTCAATATATAAGTTTAAGTCCTAACCCAAATTGTCAGTACATTTGAATATAAAGGTACACATTCTGATTAAGCCCCTGACCCCCTCCCCCTCCCCTTCTTACAGCCTGCACGTGCAAAGTTGCACAGCCAACAAACAAATCATGGAAATGATGGAACGTATAAAAATAAGGGGCCAATGACTTACCTTTGCTCCTCTGCTCGATGTTGGATCTTCCAGAAATATCCACATTTTACGTTTAAACTTGTTGAGATTTGAGGGTTTTTCATTCCAGGCATCGCTTGATTCAATTGTACTAGACATGAAATTATCATCTAAAGCCGCCAATGTTTCTTTATTGTCTTTAAATCGACTGTAATTACCCCAACAACATGGTTCAATATCCGATTCACTCAAACCCCAGAAATCTAACTCCTACAAGATAAGAAAATATTGAAAATTTAACCAAATTCAAAATTATTAATGACATTTGAGGGGTTCCATACGCACTATTTATTTACAGACAAGGATATTCTTTATATGACGAGAGAGGTTAAGCATATGACGATACACCAGGGCCAGTTTTTGGTTCATTTGACCAATTTCCCTAAATTGTCCCCCCGCACCATTTTTTTTATTCTTCATGGCATTTGAGGGGTTCCATGCGCACCATTTATTCAAAGAAGATGTATTTGACGAGAGAGGTTAAGCATACGATGCATTGTACACAACCCGCGCCACTACTTGTATGGACAGAAATTGGGGCCACATTACAGTTTGTGTTGGTTTTACAATTTATGGTTGAACAAATTTGTTATGTTTCACACTGCGGATGGAGACCCATGGTGGCTTACTCACTAATCAAGATAATGGTGTTGGCCTTAAAGCGTCTAGTCTATCGGATAGTACAAAAACTAAGTGTTAATCGTATAGCGCCGCTGTCAGGGAACAATTTCCCTCATTGCACACTGCTCAACTTCATTAGTGCAGAAAAGTAAACGTTAAATTCCACTTTAGGAGTCATGGTGGTTAAGTGAGTAAGACGGTGGCTCGCTAGCCTGGAGGTCGCTAGTTCGCTCCCTGTGTTGGTCGGGAAAGTTCATCGGTATTTCCCAGCGTGGTTTCCCCTTGTCAGTTGTCTAGTCGTTCGGATGGAACGAAAAACCGAGGCCTCGTGTACACTTTGGCTTGCACGTAAAAGGGACCTTGAGAGAATGCGATAGACGAGTAGGCCGTAACGCCGCTGTCCGGGCAAAATTTCCCTCACAACACACTGTATGGCGTATGCCCGACTTCATTAGCCCAGTCGGAGCATAACAGTAGGACGTTAAACCCCATTTCATTTCATTTTCTGTGATTTCTTTCGAGGTTGGAATAGATTTTGATGGTTAATTACTATGTCGCAGACACACAATCACGACCATGTAGAAATCAAGTTTCTTCACTTTGTGAAAATAATTCTATGCACATCTTCAGATTTTTGGTTCCTTTGTTTGTGTTTGATTTAATGGAGGATTGGTGAAGGTGGTTCGATTGTTTTTTCCGATAAAACAAAAATGGCAGAAACATGTTGAGGACGATCAATCATTAGTGAGTGAGTCTTGTCATCTATGATGTTCGACACACCATTGATTTATACATGCTGCATTCAACCTTGTATTTGATCCAGCAATGCTATATATATTGTGCTACTTATTTCGGAAATAAATCTCCGACGATGTTCGAAAGAGAGAAATGGGGTATAACGTCCACTCGACACAAACTAGGTCATTTTGGAACTAACATATGATTCAATTTTATTTCCATAATTTACTTGCGCGTAGGGGTCTTTAGCATTGGGAGGAAACCGGGGGACCCGGAGAAGACCCACGAATTGGACAGGCAACCCTAAGTACAAGAAGATTATCAAGTGTATGGAACCTTCTGGTTCAAAACTTGACGCGGGAATTGGGCACGTGACAAAATGAGAGAAAAAAGTAGGCCTACGGCTTTTTATTTTTCACCAGGGTAACGAGCCAACATTAATATCATCAACCTTGAATCCCAAGGCTGTAAAAATACCTGATTGATTCTTGCGTCTTTCAACAAACAGCCACAATCTGTGATGCGAGAAGACTTTAAATCGATGGAATAAACCATAAATATGGTATTAAAAATACCAACTTTCCTTTGTCTCCAGTTCAGATGCCCTTTTATTACGACACACAAAACAGTGAAGACACTTTTTTTTTCATTTTACAGAAAATAAATGTGTCAAAAACAGGGTCGGATCCAGGATTTTCAGAAGAGGGGGGGGGGCGTGCTGCCCCCACTTGTGAGTGCGAAGACCGGCGGCTCTCGGTGGGCGGACTAACGGGCAATCAACCAAGTCACCAACCGGCTCGTTTCGGAGTAAATTACGACGGGGATCACTACCATTTTTAAGTATTTTCCCGCGAGAAATATATCGGGCAAAACAATTGTTCGCCATCGCGAAAAAATGGGGGGAGGGGCGTGCGCCGAGTGTCCCCCCCCCCTCCTTGGATCCGCGCCTGAAAATACGTTTGTCTTGGATCAAAACATGTTGTATTTTCGTGATATTTTTCTGCTGGTATTTTCGCGAGCTGTCTTCCGTTATGCTGTCTGACGTATGCCAAAATCAATATGTCAGAAAAGTGCCATTCTTAGTTTCAACTATCAAATATGACAGGTTTTTATTTCTGTGGGCTCACGCCTGATCGACAAAACGATTAGACAGAATTTTTAATTAATGTCAGAACATGTTTTAAAAACCCACTAGTAAATATCGCAATTGTATCCAAACATCGATAAATTCAATAGCAATCCCTTTTTAATTTTTGTTTTATGTGGTGTTTGTTTAATTTAAAATCAATTAAGTTACCCTGGAGACCGATGTAATAAGAGATAATATTTACGTGCCCCGTTACAACACAATAAAAATAAAAACAAACTAGTCCTATATAATTACTTTATCTGATTTCTTCCCCTGAACGACTGGGTTTTATTGAAAAGAAAATGGTGGAAATCTCTATAGCAGACGTATAATTTCAATCAGATAATTTCTGTTTTTTTAAAATTGCGTTGTGGAGGGCGGGGGGGGGGGGGGGGACGATTTATTTGCATTAAAACATTAATTAAATTCAGTGACTGTCTACCAGTGGCCGGTTGTTCAAAGCACCGTTATCTTTTAACGACTCATTAAACCTACATTATGCAAGAGCTAAATATGCCATTGCAGGTCTTTCTTAATTATTAATTAGACATTAAAAAACTTATCCAGACTATAATCAACTTTCGATGGCATCGCTAGCCTGCGATATTTACTGGATTAGGATCCGATTTGCTGCTCAACTTTCATTCATGATCAAATCATGAAATGGATAATAGAGACAACGTTTTTCTTTTATCGTACCGACTTTAGTAATGATGATCGAGGCTAAGCCGAAAATTCAATCGCTAAATTCTCAGTTCAGAGTGAATTAATTTGACTGAAATTTTCAGCAAATTCCCTTTACATCATCTAGTTTTTAACTATTATAGTAAGAACTACCAGCTCTTTATCTAATCTCCCATAATGTATCTTAAAGGAGAGAAAGTCTGTTGCTGAAAGCCTCGTTAACTTTAACATGTCGTTAACATGACGTTATATTTAACGGAGGTGTTAGGCTCCGTTATCTGTTTAACGATGGCATTAATCTGCTGTCAGTCGACGTATACCCTTAGCAAAAGGCCATAGATCTATAGAACATTCTAGATGGTTGGGCGATAGGGCGGCTATTCCATTATTTATAGAAGTGTTAGTCCCGGAACACCTAGTCCTTTTCGGGTAGACATTAACACCCCCCCCCCCTCTCTCTCGCTCCATTGGGTGCAGAATAGTTTAACCTCAGTTCATTCTCCCCTCCCCTCTCTCCTCTGACCCTCTCCCCTTTCCTCCTCAGTTCATTCAATGATGTTATAATATTATCTAAAAGAATTACACCGCCTCTTTAATAAGAGGCAGGATAAAAAAAAGAGTTATTTATTGATTAAATGTAATAACAATCCCAACAACATGGTCATACATTGATCAAAACAATCACATGTGCAGCAACAATCTTATAAAATATTGATAAACTGTCATAGCTATGGCAACTTATATTTCTTTACCGGATTCGCTTTCTCTCTGACATAGTTTACAAGTAGTTTTGACATTATCAGATAATGTTTTGTGTCACCGCGTTTAGTTGCGTAATAGGTGGTAGTTACTAAAACTTTGAATCAGATAAATTATATATTCGCAAATTGTCACCGCAAATATATTATGATTCGGCAGATTCTGCCCCCGCCCCCCCTTCTTCAATAGAAGGCTTGATCTCGCATTAACTACGTACATCTTATCAAGGTGTTGTAAAACTCGCAGTCGTTGCTTCATGAACATGGCCTTCTCCAAAACGGGTGACAAGCAAATGTTCGTCAGTCATTCGTTGATCCATGACGTTTGGCCGCAATTTTTGAATTTTTGTAAAATCCGAATATTGATGAACTCGGGTTTAACATCTTGCCTTTCTGTACCAACCAGTTTAATGGAGACGAAAAACCGAGGTCCCGTACATATTGGCGTGCACGTTAAAGATACTTTGGCAGTTTAGATTCGTCCTCGAGTAGGCCGTAGCTCTACTGTCCAGGCATCATTTCCCTCACAACACACTGTATGGCGTAAGCCCGCGTTTTTATATGCCCAATCGGAGCAGAACAGTAGGACGTTAAACCCCATTTCATTTCTATACGATATGAAGTGCGCTTTGTGCGAACATTTTGTTCTGACACTATATTCATTGATTTCATCCAACCGCCAAGGTTTGTTTTCCGTGTACGCCATTAGGGACTGGTTTTTCTCCCATCGGAACGACGACACGGTCAAACCAACCTCGAGCGGAAATGGGAAAAGTTTGTTTATTATTTTCTGTCTGATTTAAAATTGCACCCCTTATTTGATGAAGTATGAAATTGTCAAATTCTTTGAACCTTATATTTTGATTTGTTTTGTTGGCTAACAGTGAGACTAAGTTGGAACATTTGCGTTGACTTCTTGAACATTGTTTTATTATCTTTGAATGTAAACGTGTGAGAGAGAGAGAGGGAGAGAGAGAGAGAGAAGGGAGAAATGGGGTTTAACGTCTACTCAACACAAACTAGGTCATTTCGGGACTAACATATGGTTTAATTTTATTTCAATAATTCGATTGCGCGTAGGGGTCTTTAGCAGTGGGAGGAAACCGGAGGACCCGGAGAAAACCCACGAGGTTGGACAGGCGACCCTACTCCTTGTCACGTACAACCGGGGATTCGAAACCACGCCAGTTGACTCAATGACAGGCCTTATGATACAGCGCGCACGTGCTAACCATTCGGCCACCCCCCCCCCCCCCCCGAATGTAAACGTATTAAGGTAG